AATCCCTCCAATCCGGCTTCTGCTCTGCCCACAGCACAGAAACAGCCCTGGTCAAAGTCACGGATGACATTCTGAACATCTGTGATCAGGGCTCCCTCTGCCTCCTTGTCCTCCTCGACCTCTCTACCACCTTCAACACTGTCAACCACTCCATCCTCATACACCGTCTCTCCGCTTTACTCAATCTTCATGGATCTTCCCTTGCCTGGTTCGATTCCTTTCTCTCTCACCGTCTCCATTTTGTTGTCTCTAACGGTTTCTCCTCCAGCCCCCGCACTGTCACATCTGGCGTCCCCCAGGGCTTTGTCCTTGGCCCTCTCCTCTTTAATATCTGCATGCTCCCCCTTGGTGACATCATCCGCAGACATGGGTCAACTTCCACATGTATGCAGATGACATCCAATTCAATCTCTCTGCCTCCACCCTCAATTCCAGGACCACTGCTGTCTTGACAGACTGCCTGTCATCAAGTCCTGGATGAGTGAATATTTCCTTCAGTTGTATGTGAACAAGACTGAGGCCCTCCTGATTGGCTCGCACCAGGAACTCAGGCTCTGGCAGCATCAACCTCCATGGTTGCACACTTCAACTCACCAGCCAGTCAGGAACCCAGCTGTCTTGTTTGACCCTCAACTGTCTTTTCTCCCCCATATTCAAGCCATGATCCGCTCTGCCTTCCCTCACCTCCGTAACATCGCCCGACTCTGCCACTACCTCACCCTTCAGGCCACTGAAACTCTTGTTCATGCCTTCATGACCTCCAGGCTTGACTATGCAAGCACCCTGGTTGTCGGCCTTCCCAACTCCTCCCTCCACAGGCTGAAGATAATCCAGACTCTGCAGCCCGTGTCCTCTCCTGCACCAAACTCCGTGACCCCATTTCCGCCACTCTCGCCTGACTCCATTAGCTCCCTTTCCTTCAGAAGATCCAGTTTAAGATCCTGGTCCTTACATACAAAGCCCTCCATGGCCTCACCCCACCCTACCTCTGCGACCTCCGAATCCCTTACCAACTAGCCCATTCCCTCCGCTCAACCAGCTCTGGCTTGCTCGACATCCCCCGACCCACCCCCCCCAGCATTGGCGAGAGAGCCTTCAGCCACTCTGCCCCCAACCTCTGGAATCCCATCCCCCAATCACTCTGCCTCGCCCCCTCCTTAGCCTCCTTCAAGTCCCGCCTCAAAACCCTCCTCTTCGACCATACCATCGGCCACCCCCCTTCCCCCCCGACCCCAGCTCGGGTCTGAAATGCTGTACACTGTCCAGCGCCTTGGGACGACCTCCCGATCTGAAAAGTGCTATACAAATGTAATCTTGTTGTTGTTGTTAGTTTCTAATGGGAGTGTTTCATTGAATGCGTACGACTTGGAGCATAAAGACTTGAAAAGTTTAGATGCTCCAAGTCGTACGCATTCCCACCGACAAATTGGGACGTCACCTCGCAAAAGTAATTGAGATTCATCAGGTAATATCTATCCCTTCTGAAGTTATGTATTGGCTATTATGTATCATCTTATTTTGATACTGGGATTAGGTTAATTGGTCAGTATAACTCTGTTACCTTTCTTAAAATTGAGAACGATGCTTGTTTACTTCTAGGCTGTTGGAATTTTGATGTGGTTGACTGACACCCTCAAAATCAGTGACTTACAAAAATTCGCCCATGTCTCTTAGAGGACCCAAGGGTACAGTTGATCTGTGCTGGATGATTTGAGTTTTTCAGCCCATTGAAATTCCTAGATTTTCTGCTGTGTTAAAGTTGATATCCTGGAGCTCTTGTGACATCGATTGAATTAGACATTGAGTTGTTCAGGATTTGGAATGCATTGCCTGAAAGGGTGGTTAAAGCCGACTCGATAACAACTTTTAAGAGAGAAGTAGATAATTATTTGGAGAGGACATGTTTTCCGCATTATGGGGAGAGAACGGAGGAATGGGATTGATTTGGGTAGCTGTTTTTAAAGAGCCGGCACAGACACGATGGGCCAAGTGGCCTCTTTCTGTGCTGAATGATTCTATGACAAATCCTGAACACGATTGAAGAGTTTTCTCCATGATACAAGTCATGTCTACTCTTCGTGTGCAATTCCCATGGTTGGACTGTCTTTTTTTAAGTCCTTCAGAACCATATTGAATTTTCTGAGAATATTCCCATTATGATTCTAGCCTACAGAATAGTTATCCATATTCTGATTTTTTTTTATCTGATACTGAAATGCATTGCCTGAAAGGGTGGTGGAAGTCGATTCGATAACAACTTTTAAGAGAGAAGTAGATAGTTATTTGGGGAGGACAAGTTTGCAGGACTATGGGGAGAGAGCGGGGGAGTGGGATTGATTGGGATAGCTCTTTTCAAAGAGCCGGCAAAGGCACGATAGGCCGAATGGCCTCCTTCTGTGCTGTATAATGCATTGATTCCTGTTATTAGTGTTTTAGATTGTGTTTGCTTCTTCTGCATCTCATGTTTGATTTTCAAAATGGCATCATTGTCAAGTTTTAAATATGCCTGAAATAAAATAGAAATAGCAATTTTGAAGATAAGCCTGAAGGTCATAGATATCATTGAAATCATAAGGAAGAGAAAATTTAACTTCAGTGGCTGCATATTTTATGGGGTTTGGCAATTTATAGATGCAATCTTAGCAGATACATGCTTAAAATCAAAATGGTTGTGTATTTTCTCCCCCGCCTTTACTGCAGTTTGTGGCAGGGATCATTTACTCATTTTTGAAATGTTAGGCTATGGAAGAAAAGATTGTGTTTTTTTGTTAAATGAGCCAATTTATAAAAATGTTAGAACATTGTTGAGGGAGTTCTCTTGTAACTCCCTAATACTCTAAGAATTGCTCAGCTAATGGCTTGTCATTCGGAGTATCTGGGAGAGTCTCAAGACTATTCACTCAAAGTTGAGAACTCCCACTACAAACATTAACAAATAATTTACACCACAAACAAACCCTCTTCCAAAGGACTTTTCTAGTGTGACCTCTTTAGTTTCAAGAATATTTTGTGAGTTTATTACCATTACCAAGATATAAAATACATTTCCTCATGATATCCATAGTCTTCCTACTGTTTTTTAAAAGGCATGCAGCAATGATAGTTTTATGTATTATAGAAAGGCCTTTTGTGTTAATAATAATTGTTTTGAGTTGTGTAGGGTTATTGTTGCGACTTATTCTAGGTTTTGCACAAGCTGGTTCTTATTGTGATCACTTATCATAAGTATTTCTCATTCATTTTAAAAAAAATTTTTGAATCTTGATAATGTTGACAATACTCACACAAATGTACTGCACAATAAAATGAGAAGACTAAGGACCGTGAATTTTGAATATCAGTTGTTGTTGTGCTATAGCTGCAAATCTCAGAGGCTGCAGAACAAAAGCGTGCAGGATTTGGATTGTGAAGACCATTTTAGGACAAGGAGCATTTATTTATCTCCATTTTGCTCCATTTAGTCGTATTTGAAGAGAAACCAAACAGATATTTGGTCCTCCAATTATTGCAACTTTTTCTGATGCACCTGAAGGTGAATGTCACAGAAATGTTATTCCAATTAACAAAACATCTCATCTTATTTTATGTATTCTGTCAAAACTGTTTAATAAAGTTTACTTTTATTTTATTGATTCTGCTGGATCATATTAACTCCACTAATAATCTATTGTCAACTAAGTATGTTGGCACTATGCTAACTGTTAACAGTTTGCTGATTTAATAATAATCAATAGTCAATAATCAACCTTTTATAATCCCAAATCTTGTTTTTTCAATGCTAATTCTCCTGTATGATTTATTCTGAACTACTGTATTATTTAACATCCCTTCCACCCATCAACAAATTAAAATTTGTGGTACTTTAAGTAGTTAACTGCTGTTTCCCCATGTCGAGACTTTGAACTCACAGTCTATGCTGACACTCTGATGCAGTGCTGGGGGTGTGGGCATTGTTTGAAGGCCCGTCCTTCAAATTAAACGTCAAACTGAGGTCCCGTCTGCCTGTTTAGGTGGACGTTAAAGATCCCATGGCGCTAATCAAAAAGAGAAGGGAGTTTATCCCGGTGTTCTCGCTAACAATCCACTAGCTAAAGTTGATCATTCACTCCATGCCTATTTGTGTGCAAATTGGCTGCCACATTCACCTACAAATACCCAGTTACTACACTTCACAATAAAATCCTGTGTGTGCTTTGAGACATCTCAGCAATGTGGTGAGTTACTATATCAAGTGGACCATTGTTATGAATTTTGTCGCATTTATGAGAATGGTTTGAGGCAAATGTCTAAATGTATATGTCCAACAAGTTTTCATTTAAGAATAAATATTTCGCTGAGGAGCAACCCTTTTTGAGTCATCTTGAAGTGGTTGAAGGTGCTTGTCTTATAGAACTCCAAAGGGAACAAGTTTGTCCATTGGGCATGATTAGCTTTGTAGATTTCATCAGTTTCAGCAGTAGCCTCAGTGACATATTCCAGTCTTGAGGGAAAGTAAAATAAAATGTCTAACCTTCTATCCAAGGTGTTTTTCTCAATTAAAAATTATTTGGAAGTGAATTTCTATAGTGGTATCAGGGGGTTAAAGCAAACAAGGTTCAGGCTAAAGGAGAAATAAAGTGAGTTTAAGTTGTTGAGTTTTCTGAATTAAGAATGTGGTGTGGTCTTAAATCATCAGAGATGTTTAACTACTATTCTGAATGAATACGTTTTTATTTAACCTCTTTATTTTGAAGCTACAGACCTGTGCATCTACGATTTATGACTTGATTTCCTTACACATTGAATTACACCTTTGAACTGTTGTGAAGTAATGTTTTTGAATATGACTTTTTTCAGATTTACAAAACCTATATAAAAATCCTTCAATATTAAGTAACAATGTTGAGTCAAGCTTATTAAGTATTTGATTTTGGAGGTTTATAGACTGAAGTCTTCCTGACAAGTAATTCACTTTTATAATGATACAAAACTGTAACCATTTTCTTCTTTCACTTTTGTAGAAGGTGATGAAACAGGAGTGATGGATAGCCTGCTGGAGGCTTTGCAGTCAGGCGCTGCATTCAGGGATCGCAGGAAGCGCACGCCAAGAAGTCTTGGTGAGTTACAAACTCTTAAGTGATGTGCAGGCACAGAAAGTAAGGTAGAACGCTTGGTGCTCATTTCCCAGGTGTATTCTTACTAACCTAAGGGACACAATTCAAGATTGCTTTGAAATGTTATATGCATTTACTGCCAAAGAAAAATGTGGGTGACCTATGTCAGCAATCATTTAAGTGTCAAACACTAAGAATAGTCAGGAAAGAAAAATTATGGTAGTTTTTTCCTCATGGCAAACAAATATTAGGTGAATCACTTTGGCTCTAACATGGGTTTAATGAAAGTCATTTGAAGGTCAATACGTAAAATAAAAAGAAGAGAACCCTTTTCAATTTAGAATTAGGCAAGAAAGAGGTTAAGTTTAAAATTCTACAGAAATATTACTGATAACATTCATGAATTGAGCTTTTAATTATTTTACTACTGTGTATAATCTTTAAAACTTGGGGCTATAAGATAGACTAGACTTTAAAATGTATGCAGACTTTCTGTATAGATATTATGATCTTTTAACATCTCTAGTATTGCTTAGATAATTTCATGCAATTAAATCTGTTGTACTGTGAATGGAAGGATTAAACTGTGTTGACAAAACCATGTAAGTAAAGTTAGTGCAAGTATTTATAAATGTTTAATAAGAAACGGGTGCAGATTTTTTTGTCGTCTTAAGAAAAAATGTTGCAGTGCTGAATTATAATTGTGTTTTAAAATACTAGATAGTACAGAATGCAACAAAATAATTACATTCTGAATGCTAGGAAAATAGTGTTTTTTTCTAAACAAGTAGATAATAGTAATTGATTCTGCTCAAAAGTTCTTGACTACATTGATCCTAAAAAATGTTATCCTAAGTCAGCTTACTCTAAACAAATTCCCTGTTGCTTAACAGATCATTATAACTAATTTGTTAATCTATGCACTGGTAATTTTCACACTGCAGAAGGTTCCTTCATTGTATATTCATGTACCTTTTAATTAGTCAGTTTTTGATAGCTTGCTTCCTAATTGTTGCAGGTGAACAAAGTCCAACTAGTCCAACCTCCCGGTGGCCTGTTGAAAAGGGTAAAGGAAAAATATTTATAAATGCCTCAACTTTCCTCTTTTCTTTTATTTAACATTTTCAGTCCTTCTTAAAGCTCCTTAAAAAACTCTGGATAGATAATTGACTGCAGCCTTTATTTCTAGCCTGAGGCAGAAGGCTAGTGGAGGGCAGTTGGTGGCAATTTTTCTCTTAATGCTACTTCCTAGGAAATCTCTCTATCTGGTCCCTAACACTGCTATATTAATTTCACACCCAACTGCTACCTCTACCAATGATTTGGCATTAAGCTCAAAATGTCAAACACTGCACCTCGTCCAAACTTTTCTAATGTATTGTAGCTTTTTCCCTTCTTCCTGCTTCAGAAATACATCTATGGTATTATGCCTTATCTGCTTTTTCTGCCGTAGGGAAGCAGCAGCTTTGAGGATGTGTATGTTATTATTGCTTTTAATAGGTTCATCTCTGGAAACCTGCAAAGGAATATTAACTCTGCTTTCAATTTCATTTTTGGGCTAATTTCCCAGGTATCAGGATGCACATAGCATCAAGTTGCACAATGGTAACCCAACACCCCAGGCTTAATTTTCATGAACCAATTAAATTCATTTGTGTTTCTTGATTAAGTCGCCAGAACCAGTTACAATATCATTAACAGTATGCTGCCCTTGCAGATATTTTTGGGAAAAAAAATCCTTGCATTGGAATACAAGGTTTAGCTTTTTTTTTAAAAGTTCCACTTTTTAATACATAATTTGAATTCCTGTATAAGTTGTCTAGAAACCTGCCACCAATTATTTGATCCCATGTGATCAAAATGTATTAGTGGGAATTGGGCATACTTCTAATTCACAGCCATTGACATCCCTTGTGGTTGAAGAACTGAGCTTTACAAAAAACAATTTTGCAGTAAACAAAGTGTGACTGACCAGAGCTCCATTATTTTGACATTGTCTTCCAATACGTCAAGATTCTGCAAAACACATAGACCAAAAAGTACTGTTCTGTCTGCATTTGTGTATGCTCTTGATTGGGTGGATGCAGTTACCATGGAGATGTGAAGTCTAATGAGTTACTTGTACGGGTTGGCGTGTTTTCTGCTTGATTCACACTAACTCTGAACTCACTCTCTGAAGTATTTTCTGCCTCTGTATTTATGGTGAAACACACACTTGTATCATGCAAATGATTCTTATATCGTAAAAGGTAAGTCAGTTGTAACTGACATGTCACCTGTCCCAACATTATCCCAATGTCAAAATGTGACGAAAATAAGGAACCGTAGGTAATGGAGTTGAAAATGTATTTGTGGGAAAAACGAAAACTGGCGCCTCATACTCCTTAGGGCATAAACTACATCCGAAGGGAATCCTGTGTAGATACCATCAAGTTGCAAGAACTCAGCCTCAGTCAGGTCACAGGTTGAAACCATTTTCTTGCAGGTTTGCGTGACATAGTCCTTGGGGTTGCCTTGATGAGACACACTTGACATCCTGATATATTTGTTGTGATGTAATATGTCATTTATGAACCCGTTGCCATTTTCCTGCCCCGCACCATTTCAACCCGAGTGTGTTCTTGTCTATCGACTAATTGCCTTCCCCAAAGAAACTGCTCGGAGGACAAAACTAAACCAGAGCTTCCTAAACAAACTCTAGAATGACATTTCTTACTCAACAACAACAACAACAAAATTACATTTATAGAATGACATTTCTTACTCAACAACAACAACAAAATTACATTTCACGTCGGGAGGACATCCCAAAGCGCTGAACAGTCAGATGTCGGGGCTCGAGCATGGGGGAGGGTGGTGTAAGGGTGAGGGAAGGCAGAGAGGTGGGAAGGAGACCAAAGACACAGTTGAAGAGAAGGGTCTTGAGACCAGCCTTGAAGGAAGCAAGGGAGTAAGTGAGGAGAAGGGACTGTGGGATGTAGTTCTAGAGTGTGGGGACAGAGAGGCTGAAAGCCCGGCCACCGATGGTAGGGCGGATCGGGTGGGAGATATGGAGCAGGCCGGATCCTGATGAACGGAGGGAGCTGGCAGGTTGGTAGGGAGTCAGCAGGTCAGAGAGGTAAGGGGGCAAGGCCAGGGATGGCCTTAAAGGTGAGGACGAGGATCTTGAACTCGATCCTCTGGGGGATGGGGAGCCAGTGGAGTCGGGCGAGGGTGGGAGTGATGGGGTCACGGAGCCTGGTGAGGGACAGTACACGAGCTGCATAGTTTTGGATGATCTGCAGTTTGTGAAGGGAAGAGTTGGGAAGGCCGATGAGGGAGTTCCCGTAATCGAGCCTTGATGTGACGAATGCGTGGGTGAGGAGTTCGGCAGCCTGAGGGGTGAGGCAGTGGCGGAGTCTGGCAATGGAATAGAATGGAAGAACTGCTGTGCTATTGATGCAGGTGGTCCCTGGAAACCAATAACCATGTCTTAATTCTGACTGAAAAATCTATTTCTAAATCTGTTTGGCACAAGTAGGTAGACCACAAAACAAACTTTTGTTCCACAAAATATATAAACCAGATCTGACAGATTGGTGTGTTTTTTATTTCCTGCAGATGTCCCTTCCATATCCAAGGTAATTCCTATTTTGATGTTTATTTATCTATTACTAGTGACAAACCGCATTTGGAAACTATTGATTTTTATTCAGCAACACCATTCTCTACCCTAAACCGATCAGAATCTTCAGAAATATCAATTTTGTTCTTTAAAAAAAATACAAATGCAGTAATTATCAGCAAATTTCCTTGGAGCCTGTCATTATAAATGACTACAAAATAACTTCAATTTCAACTTTAAAAGAAGTTCAATTTTTTTCTGATATTGGTTTGAAGCTATATGAAGCTAAGCTGAAATCTAGTTTTAAGGATAGAGACCTGTATATGCTGTTTACACAACAGACAAACACATATCATGCCTGCTATATTGCAGTGAAAGCACAGTTCAAATGAGGGCTAAGCAGCATGATCTGAAAGTAAATCGGGCTGGAGTCTGGCTGCTGAGACAACCATGAGGAGATGGTTTCTACAGCACTTTGATTCACACTGCCGCAATATAAATGTGGCCAGTCCAAATCGATTCAAGATCTACTTAGAAATGGTCCCTTTAAAGTGCATTGGACCACCCGAGAACTTTTAAGGGATCAGTTTTTAATGTTATTAAAGAACTGATGCAGAACTTTCCACAGCCTCAAGCGAATGCAAAAGTATAAATCAGATTTCCTGCTCCTAATCAGTTTACTGCTAGAAGCGATATCACTTTGCTTCCAGCAGCATAAATTCAGCATAATGCTTGAATATATGTGAAGAGCGAGGTAAAGTTAAGACTATTTAAATGTCAGCATTTGCCATATAAGTAAATTTCTAAATATGTCTTATCTTTTTGTGAAATACCTGAATACTTCAAACTGTGTGGGGGTGGAGGGGTGGGAGTTGGAAGTATTGTTTCGCCAGAGTAGCACATGAAGAAATATAAAGGTGTCTAATTGTGATTCAGAGTGCAAGGTAATTAAATCTTAGGGTTGTTCATGACGAGTAAATGTCTGACTGACCTATTTTAGTTCTGAACATTGGATTTAATGTATTAAATCAAGAGACTAAAGCCTCAGAGAAGTTTTAACAGTTTAGATACGTATCCTCCCTGACATGCTAAAGGAATACACAAACTTCTGTCGATGTGTTTTCAACTTTCCAAAGCTACTGTTTTCCTGTATTTTTTAAAAAATTATGTAATACAGTAGTTTGATCCACATTTAGAAGATTGTTTTAGTTTCCTAGGAGACACGCTCTTCAGATTTGAGCTAAGCACGTCTCTGTAATGTCGTCGATCAGTGCCTGAAGTTCTCTGTTCTGTCCATTTCATGTGATCCCATACATTCTATTATTTGTTCCATGCACCATAAGTAGAATAAAGAGCATCTGACTTAAATTGAGATTTTGAAGGTACACATCCAGGAGCAGAGAGCAGAAACTGACCTTAATTGATTCAGTGTCCATCTCTCCCAAATGTGTCGATCTCTCCCTGTAGCTTTTCCTCTCCTGTGCACATGTTCCCATTTTCTCTTTCTCTCACAGATGGGCAAGCATGAAAAGCAATGAATAGAAATGTTTATCACAATATTATAAATAAGTTATATTTCTCATGGTTGTATAATCTCTGGCTAATGTACTTATAAAAAAAATCATCTACCTTTAAGTTTTCAGGATTTTAATATATTTTAGTTTTAATACTTTTTAATCATTGTATTCCTTTTCATAATTGTACAAATCGTGCAGCTTGACTGTTGCATTATCTACCTGCATGATCACTCCACAAGTAGAAGGTCTATTTCTCTTTCCCTCCTTCCTGAGATTTTTGACTCCCAGTATCTCAGCGCTGTCAGGCTCCACATACTTCCCCTAAAACCACCATTCGTGTAACTTAGCTGGTAAACTCTTTCCACCCTCTGGAGAAAATCTCTGCCAAAGATTTTGAGCTTGTAATTGTATGGATTCTTTTTCCGGGATTTTAGCGAAAATTAGGATTTACAAAGAATGTACATCACGGAAACAGGGCCTCTCAGCCCAACCATTGTTTACTCTCCAAATGCGTCTCCACCCATTCATTTGCTCTTTCCCATATCCTTCTATATGGGAGTGAGTTAAAAAATAATAATTTGGTCACTCAATCACAAATATTTGTGGGACCACTGCTGTGTGCAATTGGCTCCCACGTTTCACCTACAAAATATAAAGTCATTCACTTAACAATATATTTTGTGAAGCGCTTTGAGGCATCTCGAAGGCGTGATAAGGTACCATATCAAATGCAAGGATTATTAATATTACTATCTCTGTCATGTGAAGGTCCAGCAGCTTCTTGAATGCGTCTAAACCACACTATCTGATTCAACCACCGTTTATATTTATATAGCCTTTCACGTAAAAGAAGATTTTCTCAGCCTTGAGGGAGTCAGAAGAGAACATCGTTGTGAGACTGAGAATATCTATCCCTGCAGTTTCAGCTGAGTGGTTGTGGGAAAT